AACCAACCCGCATGCGCCACATAAAAGGATAGAATGGGTTGGGGATTATGGAGGTGTAGAAAATCACAATTTTTTAGAAAGGTTCCGCTTGGTTGGAACAACACTGTCTTAGGGTATTCTTCAAGTTGTGATTCTATTTAAGTGATAAAAACCTATTTGGCTATATTTAGTCTGGAATATCTCCTGTGCTAGAAAGTTTAACAATTGTTATTTACAGTTTTTCTAGTTGCTATTAATAACTGCCATTAATTATGATTAAGAAAATATATGGACAAGTGAACAGTTCTACTTTCCAAATCTTTAGCAAAAATTATTTCAGTGTCTTCATCTTCATCCAATTATACATCATGCAACACTAAAATGTGATGTGACTGGTTTGGACTTAGCATAGATATAAACATACTTGTAAATCCAACCACTATGATTTATTCAACAATCCATGGTTAAAATTAACCTTGGCTTAGTGAATGTAAGTAACAACCCATAAACTGTTGATACATAATGCTGAGCCATGATGTTAACTAAGGTTTATTGAACAAACCACAATGGCTTGATTTGCACATAATGCTAAGCCATAATATGTGTGTTTGCAATCAAACTAAGCTAAAAATAAATCTACTTTGGCTTAATATTATGTGTTCACATCTTGGATCTACATGAACAGATGAATTGCCTATTTAGAGGAAACATTTATGGAGGTTAAGAAACATCACATTTTTTGTTCCAAATTCAAGTATAGCCTTCCCCAACCTGGTACTCATCCATCAATCACAGCACACTTCATTAGCTGTGGGTGGCAGGAATTATAGTCCAACACATCTGAAGAATGCTAGATTGGGGCCAGTGACCGCTTATTTGCAATAATGAGGCAACAAATGCACATTACTACTATTTCTTCTGCCTGACTCTGTCTGCAGATTGTTGTGGTAATGATGTTCCTGATTTCCATTATCCTTTACCGGGCCATAATTGCTGTAGTCGTATCCAAGTCTGGAAATTTCCTAATTGTAGCTTCGGTAAGAGACTTATATGCCTGTATCCCTTTTGGGCTGGTTTTGCTGATGGATTCATTTGCATTTGAACTTCCTTCTTAACTCCCTTTTTCCTCCTAGGCTTCTCGTATTGCCAGCCTGACGGGCTCAGTAGTTAATCTCATTTTCATCCTCCTCCTCTCAAAAATTTACATTGCTCTGGCACTTTTTCTTACAAAGTGGGGTAAGTAGACCGTATTGGATATTCAAGCAAGACATCAGCTTCAAGCCCCATCTCTTTGGTCCTAGAACATAAAACTAGTCTTTGGATTATAGGAAGACGGTAGCTGAGGAGATTTAAGGAAAATGAGGGCATTTTCTTCTGCTCCCCTATAATTTGAGTCCTGCATTAAAAGCATTTATTGCCAACAGCTTTAAAGCAAAAAAAAAAAAAAAAGTTCCTATAATGGAGTAAATTTCCAGTTTGAAAAAGTTATCTAAGAACTGTAGCATACCTCCAAGAATTCCACAATCCTTCATTCATTAGCATCAGAATTGCCCAAACATTTGTTAGAAATTTATACACAATTTCAGGAGACTCCAAAACATTTGTAGTTCTGCTAGTGGTGGTTTGATTTACTGTCAACCAGGGAAAGTTTACAGTTTCTTTTACATTATCTAGCCTCCCGTAATCTGTTTCCTGAAATGTGGGGAAAATGAGCTAGTATGGCTACCAGATCTAAGCTGTAAAAATCCAGATTACCTCTAGGTAACAGCCTTTAATGGTCATCTGGATTTTTGCAACCTAGATTTGATAGTCCTTGTGTTAGAAAATGTAATCTGCAGCAAAACTTGTTTTTTCTCTGTGTGGTGAATTCTGAGGTAAATATCATCTCTAGACTAGATTCTTAATTGCATTATATATGACATACATTTTGCACATATAAACATTGTAGCAATATGCAGGTACTTTGTCCTTACCCAGAACTAATGCAGTGCAACTCCTCATACATAGGTGCTTCATCTGGGAACTTTAAGTTAAGATCCTAGTATCAAGAACATCTACTTGTATATAGGTATCTCTTGAAAGATATCTGCATTCAATTTGCATACATCAAGGGAATGTTCCAACCCCTCCCCCAATATGTTAGACTTAAGCTTTGAAGAAATATGTAAAAAAGAGCTTTAATCAGAACTTATTCCAACTTGTTTTGCCATCTCAGCCATAATATATAATAACATGAAAGTGTTTTTCAATGCACTTAACATTCTGTGATGTGGAGACTGATAAGGATAGGTGATGACACTGAGGAATCATTCAGAATCTTGGTTCAGAGAAACTTGAATGATGAACTCTACTCTAAATGATACATTCATTTTTCTGCCACAGAGATGCATCGCACCCAGACCATGTTTGAAGATGCCTTCACTTTTAAAGTCTTTGTCTTTGAGTTCATCAATTTCTATTCCTCTCCCATCTACATTGCCTTCTTTAAGGGCAAGTAAGTTGTTTTGGGAATTTTCCTAATCCATAGTGGAAACAATTTTCTTTGTAGTGGTCAGGCTTGAAATACATATTTATATAACAGAAATACACCCCGGCTTCCCGCTTTCATTTATGCAATACTTTCCCACCTTGTAAGTCTTATTTTGTAGCATTTTTTTCCCTGCATGTAGTAGAGGAAACTTTCTGTACCTGATTTGGATTACAACATCTGTAATCCTGGTAGTACAAGACAGCAGGATGCTAAGTTTTGTAGGTGCTGTAGTTCAACACATCCTGGTACTATTATATTGAAGAAGACTGTAGAATAACTTTTAATATGATGCAGGAAGGGAAGGAAGTTTTTAATTTTAAAAAGAGCATGCTGGATAGGTATTTCTTCCAGGGCAGGAAGGGATGCAATAATTTAAAATTGCATATTTCATATGTTGGAAATAACCATATGAATTCTTTGTTTGTATGTATTTATGCATAGTATGCTGTATTTATTAGCCCATGCTAATCCTGACAGACTCTGCATAGGATATAACAGAGTTTTTAAAACACACACACACACACACACACAGAGTAAAAATCTATAGTAAAACACACAAGTACATCAAAGATGCCATTAATTTAACCTAGCCAAACACTTGATGAAATGCTGCTGCTTTGACCTTTTTGAAATATATTGTAGGGACCATATTTACCTGGGGCAGGGAAGAGAGTGTTCCATTAAATGGGGGCCATCACTGAAAAGGCTTGTCGTGTGGCTTGTGCTCCATGAACCTCATGAGAAGGGGGATATACAACAGGTCCTTTCTAAATGACCAGACCAAGCAGGCAGATTCAATTTTGGCAAGGTGTTGCCTGATATATCCTGGTGCTGTACTGTAAAGGGCTTTAAAGGTGATAACCAGTACTTAGAATAAAGTGAGGAGGCTTCCCCCCTATCATTGCCTTCTGGCAGGATTGCAGAGGGTAGAGAGAGAGGATAGGAAGCTTAGACCTCCCTTGTCCTAGCAATTCTGAGCCCTCCATGAGAAAAATGCACTTGTCTCCCCTCCAGCATTCTCATTCCTGCCAGCCAGTTGATCATTCTGATTACTGAGCTGGTGGGAAAACTGGAGCACATCCTGCAGTATGCTAGACCATTGGGAGGTTCTCAAAACCTAGAGGTGGTACAGGCAGGATCTCTATAAATGTCTGTGCAAATGTAGATTTAGTCTTGTTCCACACCTCTCAGCTTGCTCCTTGAGTGGAAATCAGAGGTGTTATTAACCTGGAGGTTTCAAAACAATGCTTAAATATGTTAGAACTGTAATTCTACAGGATCTACATAATAGTGATAGAAAGATGGGAAAAAGTGAAGAACTGCTGCCATCTATTGTTCAGAAACAGTATACTAATGTAAATCTTGAATGAGTGTAACAAGGCAGGCTGCATCTAACAAATATATTAGCATCTGGTATCAATATAATGAACAGTTAAAAGCAATAAAGCTCAGTCGCTACAGGGATACAAGCTGAGGAAGGTGATGCCTTTGGCCCTAGTTGAACATTACATTCAAGCAGCAGTAAATCAATTTGTGTGCCTGTGTGTCTTCAACTCAGTCTTGACTTCTGGTGACTGCCTGCAGTTTTCTTGGCAAGACTTCAGTAGTGGCTTGCCATTGCCTTCTTCCTGGGGCTGAGAGAGACTGACTGGCTCAAGGTCACTCAGCTGGCTTCATGCCTAAAGCAGAACTAGAACACTCAGTCTCCCAGTTTCTAGCCTGGTGCCTTAACCCCTAGACCAAACTGGCTCTCAGTAGCCTTTAAAAAAACAGTTGCTTGGAGGAGGGGGGAATAGGAGTTTAAAGTAGCAGTTTAAAAAAAGCCAAATCCAGATTTTTCATTTCCTGCCCTTGTGCTTTTTCTTCTTCCCCTTCAGGTTTGTTGGTTATCCAGGCCACTATGACAAATTACTGGGTATCCGCAATGAGGATGTGAGTATCTCCGAAGAGATGAGGAAAAGGGATGGGTTCTTGAAAGAACAAATGTGTCGGGATGTGTTCAGAACAAATGTGTTCTGGGGCAGCAGATTCCTAGGCAACCCACGTGAAATAGGTTGGGTTGCAAGGTGGCTCTGCAAATAAGCAAACAAAGAAAAAGTTGTTAAGGAATAGGCTGATCCCAACCATTCCACAGAAAGACTGTGTTAGCCTTAGACCAAGGAATGGAATGCAGGAGGTGTCTTCTTTAGAGCTTAAAAGAACCCTCTCTTCTATCTATATTGACAACATAGCATGCATTTGTAAACATGTTAGAAGAGCCCCGCAATATTCTGAGTCTCACCAGATGCATCTAGGAAGCTCACCAGACAAGAGGGAGATAGTTCCGTTGCCTGTGAATGCTGCCATAAAAAAAAATGGTTAGTCACTGCATTTGATGGTCATGAATTCCACTAATTAGCTATGTATTGTATAAAGTACTTCTTTTTTCCAGCCTGACTCTCTTTGCCACATCAGGAATGCTTTACATATCTCTACCATGTTTTGCCTTCATTCTAAGCAAAAAGCTCCAAACTATACATTCTCCTCTAACATTCTGGTTGCCATTTTATGGCCCTTATACCTCTGTGGTGACCTGAACTGTGTATGTACAGTTCCAAGTATGAACTCACATAAATTTATCTGTACATAAGAGCCTTACTATAGTAGTATATTCATGGTTAATTCTCTTCCTAATAACTCCTTATTTCTTTATAAAATTTATAAGAGATCTCCCCTTTTGTAATTATCCTATGATGGTGGTATGTGGTATTTCCTGAGGAAATGAGGGAACTGAGTCTAGTTCCCAGCAGCAACAGAAAAAGTGGTAACCTTGGGAGCCTGCAGGGAAAAGCATTTTAAGGAAAAGCATTCAAGCTTTCTGTGTTTGTTGAAGTTTTCCTTCTTGGTAGATATATTCCATCAAGGAAGTCTTTATTCTCCACCTACCGTAATGTTGTGTGATGCTTCGGTACCCAGAATTGAGTGATTGATAATGGATGCCTACTGCATGCCATATATGAAACTTTAAAGAATTCTAGATCAATCATTGTCTATTAGGCAACCAATCATACCCAAACGTTTCTGTCTATTTTGTCCAGTGTGGTCCAGGTGGCTGCCTCATTGAACTTGCTCAGGAGCTCCTTGTCATCATGGTGGGAAAGCAAATAATTAACAACATCCAAGAAATCCTCATCCCGTGAGTGCTGTGCTCTGACTTGATACTTTTGCTATCTATTCATTGCAATCAACGTGCTTGTACAAAGCGGGGTGGGCAAACTGGGGCTGCAATTAACATGGAGAGGATGGAGGCCCCAGCATTGCAATATATTGCGACCCTCTGGGGGAGACGGGCAGCATATAAATCAATCAATCAATCAATCAATCAATCAGGTGCTGCATCATTGCACATTTTGGAAGATGGGCTTTCATTTCCGTTTTTTGAAAAAACTCCAGTTCCTTCCAAATATAACCACTGGACTTTTAGAAAGCTGAAGCAATTAACTATTGGCTCAACTCCTGCTCCATAGGGAGCACTGCAAGTAGTTTTGCAATATTTCCTTGGATCTACGGAGCAGGCAGTTTTCCGCTGACAAGAATTCCTACCTCATCCTGCTTCCCAGTTCCAGGGATTACCCATTCATTCCTATAGTCAAAGCAGTGATATCTTGTCACTATCCAGCTGTTCTGAGAGATGGCTTTGCCAGCCCCTTTCCACAGTGGCTGGTTGAGCAGGAGCTCTTTTTTAAACTCACTCTAAAAAACAAACCCAGTGAGAGAAGAATGAGGACAGAGTTGCCATTTTTTGCAGCTGTCTGGCTTGATCAAAGGAGGAGCATAGTATTAAAAAAACTTGCCTAATAGAACAAAAATACTGCAGCAGGTCTGAGAACAAGTCTGGTGAGTGTGTGGAAATGCTCTCTGTTAAGCCTGTTTTAGATTTACCTAACAATTTTTGTATTATTTCCTGCCTTAAAATGTCAAGAAACTCTACCCTTGATTTTTTTGCAATCATACCATTGAAATTCAGAGATGTCGTTGGATATGGGAGCTATAGACAGAGATCTGGAGACTGCCTGCAGTCACAAACCCTATAAAATCTAGCAAACTCATGTTTGGTAGAAATGCAAGAGTGTGGGGGAAAAGAGGCTGGTCCCTAGTTACTTTGACTATTACAATTGCTTCACAAAATAATGTTTTGCATTTATGCCAAGACATAATTTTTGAATACATGCAAACATTGACAAATACAATCTGTGAATAGGGCAAACACTGGTATGAGTAGTAGCAAGCGTTCCTGATGTCTACCACATCCATAAATGGAGAATAAAATGTACTTTTATTGGTTTTGGTTCAGCTTTAGAGGTGAACCAGGGCAATATGTTTGTTCTTGTCAGCTTAACCGGGAGAAAATTTGGACTGCTTATATGTACATAAAAATTACTGTATGAGATAGTCTTCAGCATTCAGAGGGCTGCCTCCTTACCAGAAGCTGTAATTTTGTCAATCAGGGTGCAGCGAAGAAATGTCTCAATTTAATGTTCATAATATTTATATTTTGTTTCTTCTGTTCCATTGAGCTGTACTTACTCCTTGTGACCACGGATAAAAGTTATCCTATGTCTTGCCACATTATGCAATTCTTGTAGGTGCATCCTTTAGCTTCTGGTACTCTGTCTAGCCACCTCACATGCTCTTGGCCTCTTCTTTTTCCATTCACCTTGCCCAGCATTAGCAGCTTTTCCATAGATGCATCAGCCTGTATGATTCCAATGCTACCACACAATAATTACAGTATTGCTACAAATATGTCATTTTCATGATGTATTAGCTATATTTTTGCTGCCAGGTCATGATGAAAAGGTACTATGGAGACTGTATGTGGAAAAGGCAGGAGAAAGTTGTGCCCACCTTCACTAGATCAGAGGGAGAGTGCTGCTGTTGCTATTGTTTTTCTGTTGTTCATCTCTTCTAAGTCCAAGATCATGAGTGTACTCAGTCATAACCAGCCACCCTAATATTGTCTTAACCAAGCATGGCCACAACTCCCATCTAGTGGTGCTGCTAGATTTGGATCATGCCAGAGATTCAAGACCCAACAGAGACTCTAAGATAGGTGCTGAAGATGGCAAGCTCATGGTGGAGAGAAAGAAAATGAGCAGTTAGATGAGTGAGACTTGTGGGACAAGTTCTTGGAATACACTAGTCCAGGCCCCCACTAAAGCTGAAGCACCACTGCTAACACTAGCCTCAAAGGGAATGACTATGTTGATTGGAGGTAATGGGAATTATGATCCAATGTTTGGAGGACACCAGGCTCAAAAAAGCTATCCTGTGGCTCAGTAATAGGGCACAAATAAAAATATGCCTTATCTAGATGCATCCAGGTATTAATTATCCCTCCCTACCTGAAAAAGGAGATTACCCTAGATGTTCTAGTAACTACATTCTTTTGTTCTTCATAGGAAGTTGAAAACATGGTGGCACAAGCGAGATCTCTGTGAAGGCAGTAAGGCAGGCCAAGAAAACTTCACAAAGCCACTCTGGGAGAGTGATTATAAACTGCTGCCCTATGATGGGCTCTTCGATGAATACTTGGAAATGGGTATGACTCATCTGGGGGAATGGGAAACTAAGAATAGTTCTCTGAAAATCTCTAATGCTGTTGCTTGATAATGGAAGGGGGATGAGTATGTGTATTCTTGGAAGGGTTGAAAGATAGCAAGGATTAGAAGGGAAGAACAGTGAAGGGAAAAAAAGCCCTGGGATACAGGGAGAAATTAGTGGGTGGAGTGTGAGGAAGGAAGTCTCACGAATCCCCCTTCATGTAGTAAGATCTGGAACTTTTAGTCATCTAAATGGTGGAATATAGTTCCAACAAATGGAAAAGTGGTGTGAGAGACTATGAAAAGCTCTATTAGATAGTTTCACCAATATTTTCAAGCAATATATGTGAATATTCCAGGCAGTGTGTGGAATTTCTTTGGGCTGGACACCTTTGTATTAGTAGGTTCACCAATCAGCTTAAAACATGTGAGATTAAAGGCCATTCATTTTATCCAAATTAAAGGGTGTGCATTCTAGTGAAAAAAGAACAATTGCTATCCAGGGCTTCAGAAAGAGCATTTTCAGCCCTGCTTCTGGCTGAATTCTCATTCTGGATCCCTCTAAATTACTTCTTGGGTGAGGTTTCTTCCTTCAACCTTTTAAAATTAAAATGTTTTATTCCTTTTCAGTTCTGCAATTTGGCTTTATTACTATCTTTGTTGCTGCCTGCCCCCTGGCCCCTCTTTTTGCTTTACTCAACAACTGGGTGGAAATTCGTTTGGATGCTCAGAAGTTTGTTTGTGAATATCGACGCCCAGTTACAGAGCGGGCCCAAGGCATTGGCATCTGGTTTCATATCCTGGAGGTCATCACACACTTTGCAGTTATTAGCAATGTGAGTTATACTGGTGTATAGGGTAAGCAATCAACAGACAGTTGTACAAGCACAGCAGCTCCATCCTAGAAATACTATAATTGGATTACACTGAATTTACAGTTCAAAGATGCTTAAATTGACTTGAGTTGTACAATGTAAGTAGTTTCCTGTTTCCAAAGCAGATGAGGATTTAAGGTGAACTCAGAATGATCCAGGTTTTGGGGGTTTTTTGGTGACAGAATTGGCTTACAGTTCCAAATAAGAGGTATTGAAATATCAGTAGTAAAGGGAAGGTGCTGCAGCTTACTGATAATTTATCACTATGGAATGGGCTGGTTGGTTGTTGGAGGAATGTAGAGCTGGGTTAGCTGGTGTCTTGGTGAGGGGATGCTGTGTGGGAGGCAGAAACATCCCCAAGAGAAGTGCCTCTTGGTGTGTCTCTCTAAATTGGGACTACACTTCCAGAATTCCTGTTGGATATCCTGAATGGAAATTCTAGTATATGGTCCCAATACAGGGAGTGAGCACCAGGTTGGGCAAAGCTATGTAAACAGCAGTGACTAGATGATCAATTATCTAGTCTAGTATGAGGCTGCTTATGTTCCTATGACTGTTGCTGAAAATAAGTACATAGTGTACCAAGAGTAAGAGTTAGATGCAAGAGTTGTGTGTGTCACTTAAACAACATAAAAAAAAAAACCTAAACATGTTCTTCTTTCAGGCCTTCCTGATTGCCTTCACTTCCGACTTTCTTCCTCGGCTCTATTACCAGTACACACGTGCTAGCAATCTACAGGGCTATGTTGACTTCACCCTGGCCTATGCCCCTAAATCTTTTGTCTTGGAGCACAATGTCACATGCAGGTGGGATCTCCCACTCTTGTAACTGATAAGGGTAGCTGTTTAAACATGATTTGAGGGTGGATCTCAAAAACAACCTATTAGAACTAAATTGCCTGTGTGTAAAGTAGTAGTATACATCAATTTAAGCTTTACTCTGGAGTTGCCAAACATATGAAAATATCTAGTCCTTCACTACGTGTATTTACTTTAAAGGAAGCCCCAAATGTGTTAACTGCACTTTATTCCTAGAAAAGTTTGCACAGCAGTGCAACCATGGAAATGCAGTTCTTTGGCTGACTCTTTCTTTGCTCATAATCAAGTAGACAAGAGACACTGCCTTATATTAATTCACAGAATAGCAGACAGAACTTACTGCATTATCTTTCGCTTGGGTTAGTTCAACTAAAGAGGATTTGGTGACATAGAAATTGGCAGCAAGAGACATCAGAAATTAGTGTGGAAAACTTGTGATTGCTAAGCTGATCACTGGATTGCTACTTAGCATGGATTTTGAAGCTTTTATCTCCACAGGTACCGAGCCTACAGAGAACAAAATGGCAGGTATTCACTATCTTATTGGAATCTACTGGCAATCCGACTTGGCTTCATAATTGTGTTTGAGGTACATTGCACTTCTAATGTCCTCAGGGTGCTACTTTCCATATACTTGTTTCTTAGAGACCATATGCTGGCCACTACAAAGTTTAGCACATTTAAAAATCCCATTTGTAGCTTTGTTTCTTCCTTGAGTTGGCATTGGTATGTTAAAAATGAGTCATACAGCATAGCTTAGATTGCTTGAAGGAAAATCCTGCTGTTTTGAAACTGAAGAAATTATTTGGACATAAAATACATCAAAATTATGGTACAAGCTATGCTATTGGAAAGGAAGTAGCACTAAAATTTTTGTATTACTGATAAAAGTACTACGGGTTCTTGAATACCAGAAATTCTGTAATTTTGTGGAAGCCAAATTGGTGATACTGAGAGAATGCGCATCCACTACAAAATGTTCCCACATTAAAAAAGAACCATCACCAAAACCTGCCAAACCAATAAACAGGCAATACAAAGTTCACAAGCAACAATTATTTTCTAGGGAGATCCCTATCAATTGTGATATTCCCTGGCTTAATGGAAATCATAAACTTTCTGCAGACTATCATGTCTAGCTGGGGTTATCATGTTTCTATATGCAAGAGATTTCCATTTATTTTCTGCCCAGCCTGCTCTCCACTCAGAATACATTCCTCCTACTTACTTTCTTTTACCTCTTTTCCCAGCATGTGGTTTTTTTCATTGCACGTATGATTGATATGATGGTACCAGACATCCCAGAAGCAGTGGCAATAAAGGTGAAGCGAGAACAGTATCTTGCTAAACAAGCCCTGGCTGAGAATAAGGTAAATCCTCCATTATTCTGAAAATGAAGAATTTGGACCTTTTCTTTGGAAGAGAGAAACAGGACACAAACTGCTTAAGATCATTGTACTGCTACTGAGTAATTGATTTCTATACTGCATATCCCAAATTTCTTCCAGGAAAAAACCATTTTTGTACTAAATTAGATGAAACCACAAGTATTGAGTAGTAAAGTTGATCTGGAAGTAAACTTTGTGTGCAAAACTAGTTATCTCTTGGGTTCTTCCCTCATTTCCTTTCCTTGGATTATGAGTCACCCAGAATACTTTTTAAATAGCATAAAGTGGACATGAAGTATTTAAAGGACTTATGTGGAGCCTCACATTTTCATTGATGAAAACTGCTTATTACCTTTTAACAATATACTGTACATGGTTCTTTACCATATTTATTGTGTCATAGTCAAGAGTTGAATCTTTACTTCTAATTAAATTTTGATGACAATTCTATAGCAATCTGGAGGTTTTAGTTTTATGGTTGTTATAATATCCATGCTATTACTTTGTAACTTCATACTTACCATTTTTATGGCTGTTAAACATAGGTTGTTCCTATTATTATGTAGTTAATGTTTTTTGTCTTACCTTATGCTGGTCAAAGGCTGAAATAAAGATAGAGATTCATTAATGAAAATATTAGGACTTCAGTTCCTTTTCATCATGGTCCATTTTTCTCCCTTCCTCAGTAAAATAATGTGGCAGCCCATGAAAGAGTATCATTTTGTTCTCCCCTTCAGATTGCTTTTGACATAGGCCTTAATTATATTTTTCACGTATTGCTGTTCATACCCTTCTATTACTTTATTTGGTACTTGAATTATCCTTCAAATTAAATAACAGGTGGACTTTCTAGCTATACAATTTTGATCCAAAATATTTGCATATACAGTATCAAGGCCAGGGCACAACATGCAACTTCCTACATCCCTTTTGGTGTGGGCTTTTTTTTTTTTTTGGCATTTTCTGGAATGGCAGAAACGTTAAGGAACAACTTGGGCATCATGAGCCTTGTTAAAATACCCAATTTTTATCCAATAAAATCCACCCTCCCACAACCCAGAGAGGTATCAGTTGTATCAACTTTTGGAATAGAAAATGCAAAGCCTGGCACATCCATTTACACTCCTGTGCTAAGGCAAAACCATCTTTACTTTCTACATGTTTGCTTCACTGAATGACCATGTTTTACTACACTTGATAAACATACTCTTCTGATAGTTTTCTTGAGTATTGGCTGTCAATCATCTATTTGTGAGGAGATATCCCCTTTTATGGGTAACATTTCAGATAAAAGAGTCCTTTAAAGCCCTTTTTGGTACAAAGAAAGTGGGAATAATTTTTGAAAAGTGAGGGATAAACTGAAGGCTCCTCTGGCGCTTGATACTGAACGTATTACTGTATTACAGGCTATTTTAGTTTAAATATTCAGTTTTTGCCCTACTTTTCTATTCTAGCAAGTATTCAGAGTTGTTAGATACTTTATATTCTATGTTGTTGCATATGTATATATTTTTCAATTACCAAGAGTCTACAGTACAAAATTAAATCAAGGCATGCAGTCCAAGTGGTCAATCACTAGTTTTCAGACTACAGTACGTGGATTTATTAAGATATCGGTCTTATTAATCACACTTAGTCTTAATTACAAGTGTATTTTTTCAAGCTAATTTGAGTCACGTTTCCCACATTTTAAGAGCTTCCAACATGAAAAATTAATCATAATTTGTTCTTGGTGAGGCCTAACCAACAGAACACTTAGGATAGCATTATTTTAAATGTCTGAAGACAAAGGCTTCAACCAATGTTTTTTTCCTTCAGTCTCTCCATTACGAACACTACCTTTGTCTCCCAAAATTGAATTACTATCTAGCCTGAAAAATGTTGGTTTGTCAACTTTGATGACATTTTGTCACCATAAACTGAATGTGGGAATACGGAACACCACCTCTGCTTAAGCTGCATATTCTAAAGCCTCTATGTATCTCATATCCAGGTATATTGAGGTGCAACTGAAAAAGCAATTTAAATGTGACAAGCTAAAAAGGCAATGATGGTTGAACTGAGATTGGACCCTGTCAGATATTCAGAGATCAAGCTGGTATAAAATAGAACTTGAATAATAGACTTTGTTTTGTGTTTAATCACAAATCAATGGCTATTATAATAATCAAAAGTATGTTTCTTTGGTAACCTTCCTCAGCTACATTCTCTTTGATGGAAAAATGTATTATAAACTTATAATTTCTTTTTCTTTTTGGGACAGGCTCTCATTGAAGTGATAGATGTTGTTAATCCAACCCCTCTCACGGAGAAGGTATCAAAATATGCATCTCAAGATCTGGAAGAATTTGATCGAGATCAGTTTATCAAGCTTCCACAAGAGTAAACTTTATGGAGAAGCACCATGTAAGCTGGCACACCATGGACATGGAACTGTTAAACATGTATCATACTGCAGATGTAGAATGTGCCTCAAATCTTTAAAGCCTCAGGAATTTCATCCATATTTACCAATGTAGCTATTTTATGGTTCTTATAGAGACACAGTACACAGAAAATTACAAGACGTACATAAGAGTTTTCAATCTGCTTCTCCCCTACCACAAAGGTGATTTCTAAACATAGTGAAATTCAGCAGTTGACTAGTACTATACTCAGCTGTTAATTACCATAGTACAGGAGTCTCTGGGTTTAGATGCAATACATTTTCCAAATAGTAAGAATCTGTTAACACTAGAATGGCTCATACTGGCTTGCTTTCTTTAGTATTTTGGGAGTTGTACTTAAGGCAGATTATTGGATATAGCAGCATGATCTCTTTAGCATATGACTTTAGTCACATGCTAAAGATTACTGCCATATATGAGGACAATTATGAAAAAAACTTATTTTCAGCTACCCAAGAGGTTTTTTAGTCTACAAAAGCAACATAGGATTGTAATCTTCACATCCATGTCTGTTTCACCTGGCATATGTTTCAACAATATGCATGTACCATGAACCTGAAATCTTAATCATGCTTAAATCAATACGCCTGCTGACAAAAAGTGAATAAGCAGCTGAAATAGGCATAAGTTTGCTTATTGCAGTTTGGAACAATCTAGAGAAGCAAGAGTTAGCATATATTTCATTAAAAAGGCAGGTAGGAATTTTGATTTGGAGTGACTTTCTTAAAATAAAGAACACACAAAGCTGTTTCAGGTTTTATTTTTTAGAATTTATAAAATTCCAGTGTCATCCATACTCATGAGCCTTTATACATGTTTTGCATATAATCTCCAAATTCCAAAGTTAAGGCCAAGGGATCATTGCCATGGAAACATAATATGGAAGACATTAAGAGGACATGGAGCACATCTCCACAGATCAACTGCTGCACGCTACATGGGACAGAAGAGTGAAGTATTTTCAACAATTTGAACAGACGGCAGCGTTAGAGCCATGCTCAATGGCAGTTAAGCCCAAAACACATGTGCAAGTGATGTGTGACATTCAAACACCAGGTCCCACTGGCAAGGCATTAACACTTCTACCCTGTTTTAGACTCCTGCTCAGATAGTGATAGGGCTTCTCCTATCCCAAGTGGAATCATCACAGAGAAACAATATCTCCCCTTTCACTTAGGTTCATTTAAACTGAGAGGATTTTCCTTTCTATCGGGCTAAAAGCTAGAAGTTTGATACACCATCTCTCAGCATATAATTTGGGACACAAAGGACTCCGGGGAAAAGATACAAATGGCTCAGAAAAGCTCTTCAGAAGAGAGCAGGAAAGACAGAGAGCAGAGTTGGCAACAGACCCAGCATTGCCACCAGCACCTTCAGCAGAAAAGAGAATTGTGGCTAGAAGAGCAGCTTTAAAATACAAGCAGCCTTGCGTCAGTTTATGGTAGCAGCTAGAGTGCAGCAACTATTGGTGTCAAGACAACCAGACAACACATTTGTTGCCAACTACAGAAGGCTTTTGCTGAATATAGATCTAATCTCCCACCCCTACCACTGGCCACCCAAGAAAGGCTTCATCTTTAAGACTGAACTGCAATCAAATTCTTCAATTTAAGTGAGAGCCACTCCTCACTTACCTCCCTCCAAGGCTTAATCTCTGTTGCAAGACTAGAGGCCAAATTATGTGGCAACAGTTAAGACCATCTTTGTCAGAGGAGAAACTAACTGCCACATACCTAGCTAAAGCCACACACATACATTCCTCTTCTCACAGAGGAACAATCATGATATCAGGAAGCAAGAGGAGCTATCTGAAGAAGCAGGCCACTGTCATACTGGCTTGAGGTAGAAAGAAGGCAATAGTAAAAAGCAAAAGACACACCTTAACCCTGGTACTTAAATGCCATCACTATCAAGCTAGGGGGGAAAGGGCAATGCACTCTTTTAACACTGCACTAGTCACCCAACATCCTTTGTGACATGCTAACATGGCACTTTTGGTTGAACCAAGTTTTCTTAGATCCAATAATACTGTCAGTTTTCTGGCTCTGTTTAGCCATACTATGGTTGGGAAGGAAGGATAATGCAAAAAAGTGATGGGGGGAAAAACTGATGATGAGCTGCAATTCAGTACTCACCCCAGTGAAGGAAGAATGTTTGTGCACTTAGTGCTGCAGATCAGCACAACAAGGATTGTGACCCTGATAGTGCTTTCTGGGGGTCTCAAACTCCAGGACTGATCATCTCTCTCCACCCACCCATTCTGGCCAGTTCCCTCACCAATAGTAGAATTAGATGGGCAGTTTGGGGTGGGGGGGAAAGAGGTTGGCAGTGAAAAGGGAAAACTGATTGCACACTACAAAGGTAAGGCCTTGGAGAAATGGCAGGAAGGGAAAGAGCAAATATTTTGGCTTTTAGAAAATCAAGGAAATGTGTTTCCTGAGGTTGAGAGACAGGAAGTATATTCCTAGGTGCAGTAAGGTGATCTCCTAATGGAGGTTAGAGTGCTTTGTATAATGTACTTGGGAGGCTTCATTACAACACAATGACTCACATGATAGGCTGAAATTTGAAAGAAAAAATGTATATATTTTAGGTTGGAATTAATGTGGAAAGTTTTGTTCCAGGTCAAGGGGAAGAAAAAAATGTCAAACAGAAGCATAGCGAGGCCTGAGCATAAGGATAACAGAGGGAGTAAGCACTCTAGTTTCATTAAGAGACCCCTCATTGACAATCTGCACTAGATCCAGCCAGTAGGGCAGAATTCAGGAAAGAAATTTTGTGGCAAATGGCTGGATAAGATTGCTGTTTTCATGGTATTATCGCTTGGGACCCCATGGCAGAGTTTTGGGAGCCACCTGAGCTCCAAAACTTGGGAAATCTTCAGAACTGCTCATATCAGGAGCCTACAGGGAAACAAAAAGAAAGGACGTAATTTGTATAGGTACTACTTAATAACTGTAAGAGTAATTTCACTTTTCCAAAGATCAAACAACCAGTAGCTCTGAAAAGACAACGGTAATTCAGTTACTATGTTGCTATTATGAACAATGCAGATGTTCTAATGGTAATTCCAGCTGATAAAAACTTAAAAAAACAAAAAATTCTCCTAGACTTCAAAAATATATTCAGCAGACTATGTCCCACCCATATTACAAATGGCCAAAAAGAGAACCATAGTTCACAATTTTCTACCTTAGTATTGAGATTGCAATATTCCAGATGCTCTTGAGTGCAGGACAGAAGAAAAAATATGCAGCTCATATACAGCAGTAGCTGAAAATATGTAGCTTATTCTCTTACCTACCAATGTAAAACTGGGAGAGGAAGGGGGAAGAAGCAAGCACTCTCTAATAAAGGGGAAATGGGATCAGTAGGCTACCTAAAAAGAGTTTTATTTTTTCCAAAGTTGAAGTGATTTTTTTTTTCAGGTGTCAGATATGAATGTCATGCCCATAGTCCATTGTGTTTTCATGTTCAGGCAACACTGGTCTTAAGTCTGCACTATAAATCTGTGTGTATTAAACCAACATGTTTAGTAATAATATCTTTATTAGTCACTGACCAGCATTTTATATAATTTTTGTAAGAGGCTCACAATTAAAATATATAAACATTTTTGGAAAGATTAATAAAAGTAAATAAAATCCAAACTAATAAAAATAAAAAGAGAAAAATATAAAAAATCTGAATACTCAAAAGTAATTGACTAAATTACTAAACTACTAACAATATATGTGTGGGGGTGTATAATTTTATTATGGTCAGTGAAAATAAAACATAAAAAGCATAGAAAATATAGAAATGCTTGTATATTAGTGAGGTCCTAAAATTAGGGGAGTATTTTTCTGCACAAAGCAATGGCAGCTGAAAGAAACTGGAAAACGTTGGGGTTAACAAATTACCTGTCCTATAACAAGAAACATGGTGGAAGAGGATTCTCTCTCACCACCTCATCTTGCCTTGGCAGGACGCTTTCACAAAGGATGGAATCTAAATGAAAGACTCAGGTGAATCCCAACACCTTCTCCAGACCAAGAGAAGCTTACTACATGAAGCAGCTCCTACCTTCTCAGTATTGCCAGCTGTCCATGGGGCGTCTCTCACCACAAATCCCTTTGATGCAGCCTTAGCTTCCTCATGAGCAGGTGGTTTCATGTAGACTTGCATTGCCTCATTATCTACTACATCAGCCAGCTGCAATTCCAAACAAGTAAGCACAGCCCAGTTAGAAGAGTGTATACACAAACACAGGAAGTTAATACTGTATGGAATAATTCTCCTCTCTCTGTAACATTTTGAATCCATGTAATTAAGTAATACACATACATATTCCTCCTCCAGATTCAGGATATGATCAATGGCTTCCTCCACATTGTCAGGGAGTCCAGTCACAGTCACACAGTTGGGATCAACAGCTCCACTTTGAGGAAAACGGATATCGACCTGGAGTGACAAAAATTATCTCAGATATGGTGGCCTGATATATTTGCCTGTCTCTTTCCCATTTCCCTTGAAGTTGTGTACCCAAAAAAGGTGGTGTGACTAAGAGTAATACGGTAACAGAATGCAAGGAGTAACTGAATTTGTTTGGCTTCTCAAAGAAAGGACTATTCATACTTGCAGTTGCTCAAATAAACAAATAATGCCACATTTATAGGGAATCTGTGTGCTGTGTGTGAATCATCAGAGCCATGCCTGCCATGTTTTGAACAGTATTCAGACCACATTCAGAGTTATTCCGGAAAGTGAGGGTGGAAGGATACAACACAGTAGTTCCTTATACAGCACAGGGATCAGTTTATGATCTTGCTTTTCTTTATACAACTAACTTCTTGTTTTTCTTTGCACTGATTTCATGTCTGATCATCTGCTGAAGCAAGAAACCCAAACAACTCGGCTACTGCTATTGACAAACTGATTTCTACCCATTCACCAGATGGCACAATGTTTTACTCGCCTTGAATTCATCCATAATTTTGCGGATAGCTTTCCCACGTGCTCCAATAATGCGGGCATGAACACGATGGTCTAGGGTGATGTCTTCAGATACCATCTGCTCCAGTTCACCAACAATCTTCATGATGGCATCTCGGGCAGATTCAGTATTTTTCTCATAGCCTGTTATGATAATCTGATCCTGGGCCTGAAGGGGAAGATTTTGATAGTTAATGCTAGGCTCTTCAAGTTGGTAGCAAACAACACAAGCAAAATGTCTGAAACAGGCTGCTATGGAGACAGCAATGAGAACAGAACAGGTAACACAAATATATTTGCTCTGCTAAACAAAACAAAACCCACTCCATATTTTTGGATAGTCTCCCATCCTTTTTTCCACACCCAGTTCTTCACCTGAGATTCATCATCTTTGTCTGGGAATTGTATAGTCACATCATGTTCTGTGCGGATTTGAGTGATCACTGCCCCTTTCCTGCCAATGATTTTAGGGTGGTATCTGGGGTCCACAGCAACAGTTAACTTAAAGTTTCGCAAAGCCTAGAACAATAGAGAAGTTTAGGTTTTAAACATTTGCTGCTTCTAATCAAGCAATTTTACAACTACTCTGGCAAATACAGTACAACATATATTTAACAAAAGAGTTATCAAAGTAATAATATGCCTGTACTATATGAACTTCCTTCCAAGTCATGGAGATTCTGCTTATTTGCCTACTGTTTACATACTTTTACACTGGTGATCATATGACACTGGGCTTTTTCTGCGATGGCCTCAATTTTCAGAATATCTTACTACAGGAAGTCTGCAAGGTTTGTTCCTTGAGTATTTATAACAGGTCTTAAAGATCTAGCTGTTCTAATCTCTAAAATGAATAGATGTAGATATTCATTTTAAATTGTTTTGCTGTTATTATTGCTTTTATTATTATACTAAATTGTATATTATTATTTTATTATTTGATCTTGTAACCTTGCTCTCCACAGTTGGTGTCCTACTAAACTCAGCAAGGACACTGATGATTTTAGGAGTTTTAATAGAGTTTGATATACCAGGTTGGAAAAGGCTGTTGCTGAAAACTATATTAAGGAGGTTTTACTTGGAAAGAGTATAAAAATAATCCTGCCACCTGGAGCAACCTCCTCCAATCTGTTGCCCTTCAGATAGGTTGAACTACAACTTGAATCACAACCATCAAATATTGTCTTTGGATAGGTCGGTTACTCTTGATGGGATCTGCAATGTGTTATTGTTAATGAACTCCAGACAACAAATTCAGGGAGATGGTACTTTTCCTAAGGTGACACCAAAATATTTCATTCTCCAGTTTCCAGTCATATATCTAAAGTCCTTTCAAAAACAGCAGCAAGCTTTGCTAAAAGTAATGATGATGTCTTTACTTCTACTCATTGCATTAAAAATGTTTTTGAGAAATCTTTTGTGGTATTATTTTGCTCCAACTTGCCTCTGTGTAAATTGAGATACCAACACACAGCAAAACTGCAATCTAATTAACTCTCCTGAACTCTGGTTCAAACTTAGACGGTGTTAAGGCAACAATAAGGTCTGCAAAGCACTTATCCAAAATAATCTATTTCCATATATTCTTCCCCAGTATCAGACCCTAAAATAATACCTGCAGTGGTTCTTAAACTGGGGATAATTTGGGCATATCCTATGAGTAATGGAGCAACTACTTGTTTATGAGTCAAGGAGTCAGTTTGGGACTGGTACCACTGACACACTTGCTTTTTTTGGGAGGGGGAGCTACTCAGTCCTTGAGAATCATCTTACAATTTTATTAAAAAAAATTTAAAAGGAAGATAAAAAAATAATACAAACTAATATAAGGTAAGAAAAAGAACATAAAAAGAAAGAAAGAGAAAGCTAAAAGTGCAAGAAAGAAAAAAAAGTAAAAGAAAAATAGAAAAGAAAGAAAAAAGATACAAAGAAGTGGTTTCCGATCTTCTTTACAGCAGTTGTAAGTACAATTACAAATTTACCTCTTACTCTATGGTTACAACATGACTCTCTTTATTCTATAATCTATCCTAGCTAATAATCAAAACCATAAATCATAAGTTCATTTTTTGTGTGTGTTTTACTCAAAAAGTCCATAAGGGGCTTCCAGTCAGCAATAAATGTAGATACTATCTTTTCTCTGATCAAAGAAGTCAATTTAGTCATCTCAGCAACTTCCATCACCTTCACCAACCATTCCTCAATTGTGAATAATGCCGAATCTTTCCATCTTTGTACATACAATAATTTCGCTGCAGTTATCATGTACAAAAACAAAGTTCCATGACTTTTTTTCCAACTGTTTGTCCATTAATCCCAAAAGAAAAACCTCTGATCTCAATTGTATATTAATCTTTAAAATCCTCTGAATCAGTGTATTTGAATCCAAAATTTTCTAGCTTTTTTACACATCCACAAGCATGATAAAATGTCCCTTCTTATCGTTCATGTTTCCAATATAAATTTGAAGTGCCTTTATACATTCTAAATTTCCCTGGTGACATATACCAACGGTACATCATTTTATAAAAATTCTCTGTAAGATTATAACATAGTGTAAATTTCAATCCTTTTAACCACATATTTTCCCATTGTTCCATCTGTATATTATAACCAAAATTTTTAGCTCACTTTATCATACATTCTTTCACTTGTCCTTCTTCTGTTTCAAATTTCAATAAAAGTTTATACATTTTAGCAATTACATTTTCATCATTTGTACACAATTGTATTTCAAACTCAAGTCTTACAATGTTCAAAACCATAAACTCTTTTGTTTACTTTAAATCTTTCTAATAACTGTAGATAAGAAAACCATTGACAACTATATCCCTCTGCCACCAGTTTTTCCCTTGATTTTGTTTTATATTCCCCTTGACAAAATTCTAGTATCTCACAATAACTTAGCCATTTGTATTTGCCTGTTATTTCTTGTCTATAAAATGCTTCTTGTGCTGAGAGCCACAAAGGTGCTTTCAGGCACAACCTGGGTTTGAATCTATTCCATATTCTTAATATGGCACGTCTAACAGAATGATTTTTAAAATCCACATTAACTTTGACTTTGTCATACCACAAATATCTTTGCCACCCAAATCTCAGGTTATGTTCTTCTAACTCCAAGAGCCTTTTATTTCTCAGCAGCACTCACTCTTTCATTCAAACCAAACAGCAAGCTAAAAAATAAAATTTCAAATCAGGTAGACCCAATCCTTCTCTTTCCTTTGCATCTTGTAACACCTTATATTTAATTCGTCTTTTTTTCCCCTACCACACAAATTTAGATATACCCTTCTGCCTCTGTTTAAATGGTGCATCAGATGTCAAAACAGGTATTATCAGAAACAGAAACATCATTCTAGGCAAGACATTCATTTTTATCACAGAAATTCTCCCCAGCAATGACAATTAGTTTCTCCCATCTTTAATATGTCTTTTTTAACTTCATTCCATGTCTTAACATAGTGATTTTGAAATAACATACATTTCATATTTGTCATGGTGATACCCAGATATTTTATCTTCTTCTCAATCTTAAAACCTGTTTTATTCATCAATTCTGTTTGAACTTCTATTTTCATATTTTTGGTTACCATCCTCATCTTCTCTTTATTAATCTTGAAACCTGCTAATGCACCAAATTCTTTTAATTTGCCCATTAGTGTTTCAATTCCCTTTAAAGGATCTTCCAAACCAGCACCAAGTCATCTGCAAAAGCCCTTAATTTATAAGTTTCTTTTTTAATATTTACTCCCACAATCCTCTCATCTTGTCTTACATCTCTATTCAGTATTTCAAGAACCAAAATAAACAAGAGAGGAGACAGTAAGGATCCCTGTCTTGTTCTTTTTTGTATCTCAAAGGGTTTTGTTACATCTCCGTGAACAATTATTTGTGCTTTCTGTGAAGTGTAAATCGATCTCACCCATTTTAGTAAATTCTCTCAAAAATTTATAGCTTCCAAAACCTTAAGCAAGAAAGCCCAATTCAAATTGTCAAAGGCCTTCTCCGCATCTAAGAAAATCAATGTGGCTTGTTTTCATTATGTTGCTCCAAATATTCCAAAAAGTCCAGCACATTTCTAACATTGTCCTTTAATTTTCTTTTAGGTAAAAACCCATATTGATTCTCATGAATAAATTCTTGCAAAATTATTTTCAGTCTATCAGCTAGGATTGTTGTGAATAACTCCAGCGCTGCTGGAGGAAGACACGGACTGAATCCGACCGAACACATGTTAGAGCCGCTATTAAGGCCTACATTGTGGTGATAAGGGCGGTGAAGCGCCAATACTTCTCCGCCCTT